GCTGGCTTTTCCACAGAGGACAGTTGGCTGCTCTCTACCACCAAAAGCAGAAGAGGAAAGTCACCTTGGTTATAGCAGAACGAATCATGGTTAGACATAAGGAAGCACTTTCCAAGTGTGACAATTATTGAGGCTCAAAATAATGACCAAGGGAAGCTGAAAAAACCCATTGAAGATCTTAAATGCACATAGAAAGTCACCTTTTCCAGGATGGTTTAGTGAGGGAGTTACCCGAGATAACCTTGAACTTGGTTAGAATGTTATTAATAATTTTTTGTGATTCTCAAACCAGCAAAGACTTCCCAAGAGCACACACACTGGCTGGGATTCTCAGGGACCACAGAGTGGGAACCCAGGATCCAGCCACAGAGCCCAGAGGTGCTTCCTGACCAGTCTCCAGATCCCATCAGCTTCTCCTCCCATGCGGCCCCTTCTAGGAATTGTGATAAAGCAGGTTGCCCGAGTAGCTGGCAAGTAGCTCCTAGAAAAGGCACCTTCAATTTCCTCTGGAACCCAAGGCGCACGCGGGTGCCCGTGCCACAGCTGGCTGCCAGACCCGTCCCTGCTTTCCCAGTGCTAGGAGGTTCTGGCCTGAGGTCCCCAGATGCACTCACCCGGCGACTGTCCCTTTCCATGGTCTCCCAAGGGCTGAAGCCTCCGGACTCAGCTGGTGTCGAAGGGAAGCTCCATGTTGGCCTCTGGCGTCCCAGGCATGTAGGGAAAAAGGGGGCTGGAATTGAGGGCCACCCCCCCGCAACTGGGTGGGGAAGCTGGTTGGGACATGTGAAGTAATCCCATGTATGAACAACAGCGCAGAACTAGCCAGACCTGTCCCCTGCCCCTCCCCCGTGGCCTCCCCAGTTACTCAGCAAATGCCAGATACCCGGAGGATGAAGCTACCTTTATTCCTAAAGCTGCCCCCACAAAGTCAGCTGTGGGGGAGAACAGGGATTCCAGATTGCCTCTTTCAGAAGGGGATTCTGGGGAGACATAATGGCCCAAAATGTCCTCACAGCGCCTGTGAGGATGATCTTATCCCTGCCAACCTGGGCTCCTAAAGCCGGTGCTTCTGAGCCCTCTGAGATATGATCCTGTCCCCACGGGGATCAGTCAAGCTCAGAGGCCCACCCACGGCAGGACAGTGTGAAACTTGGTCTCCACGGACCACAAGTCCACACCTCAAGTCAGGACGTGTGGTCTGGCAAAAAGAATTTTTTTTTGCTTATTTCTATAAAAACACTTAAGGAAATTAAAATCAAACGGCTTCTGATTGTGCACATAATGAATTGCCTCTATTGAAAGTGATAAAATGTTATGACACAAGACAACAAAACCAGTGCAAATAAAACATACAAATGTTTTGAAAGGAAAAGGTTCCAAGAAATACCAGGCTGACTCATGGTTCCACACCTCTGCCCTATACTGTCAAAAGAAATAGTGTCTAAAGAAGCAGAGCAAGAGGACCGTGAAGGGTTACCTAGCACCTCCACACCCAGCTGAGCTGCTGAGAGCAGCAGAAGGTGAGCTTCAGTAAGAATCTTCCAGACTCTGAGTATTTGGAGCACCAAGATCATAGAACTGCAGACCTTTTAGAGCCTGAAGGAAGCTGAGAGCTCATCTAGTGAGTCAATCTCCTCATTTTATAGATGGACAGCCGGAGAGCCAAGAGCCTGAGGAATCTGTACAAGTCACATCTAACAAACAATAGCAACAGCAGAAATAATAATAAGCTGCTGGGTATCCTACCAAATGCTTCACCTACAGCGATGCGTTTAATCCCTACAACAATTCTATTCACCCATCCTTTGCTCATTCATTGAACAAGTATGTGTTAAGGGCTTCTTATGTTCCTGCCACCATTTTAAGTGCTGGGGACCCAGTAAACAAAATAAGCGAAGACCCCTGCCCTATGGCACTAGTGTTTGGGGGGTGGGGCAGTCAGAAATAATTTTAAAAATAAACAGATAGATAACAAAGATGGTGATAGACAGAAGATACAGTGTGTTAGAAAGGGGAGAGGGTCATAGAGCAAAACAAGGCAGGGAAGGAGATTGGGCGGGCTGGGGAGGCAGAATTACAATTCGAGAGGAGAGTCAGGAGGGCCTCACTCAGGAGACACTCAGGCAACAACAGGGATGTGACTACTATTCTCTCCATTTACAGACATGAAAATGGAAAGTTCTAGATCAGATGGGAAACCATTGGCTCCAAAGGTGCTTTGAGGGAAATAGAATCCCAAGGCAGAAGGATGGAGGAGGGGCATCCTGGAGGGCCCAGGCAGAGACCCCAGGGATCTCCAGATTTGGGTGATTTGGGGTGTCACTGCCCTGGCTTTCCAGAAGAACTCAGCTTTAGCCCCATCCCCTTCTTCCTCCCTCCACCAGCCTGCCATGGCAGAGGGACTCCTCCCATGTGGTTGTCCAGTTCCAAGGAGATGCCAAATTGTGCCTTGTCTTCCCTCTTTCCTAGGGAGGAGCCCACCCCAACTCAGGCTACCAGGGACTAAGGCTGGAGACCGGCATTGGGCCTTTCCTTCCATGCACCAGACTTGAGGACCCCCCACTCTGTCCCCCAGGCAGACCACTGGCCTCCCAGAGTCACCCTTAGCTTCATGTCATTCCCTGAAGGTTCCACCGGCCTCTGGCAAGAGCTCAGGATTGGGGTTCCAGTCCAGCCTGGGGGGACGGGAACCCCACCTCGGAGATAAAGGCCAGCTACGTGAACTTGGAGGTCTTCAGAATCACTCTCTGGAAGATGGTGGTGACACGTCCACCCCCAGATAATATGTCTGGCACTGTGAGGCTCTGAAGAGATGTCGGTTGTATTTCTTGCTCTGTTCTTTGGATCCATCAGAGACACAGGTTGTCTCAGCATCCTTGCTGACCAAGCCTTCTCACCCACATGGAAATCGCCACCAGCCATTGGTTCAGTTCAATCAGTGCTGACGGCTCAGCATCAGGCCCTGCTCCTGGGGTGAGGGTGGCAAAGAATAGAAGGGCGGGGATCCTGCCCGAGGTCGAGGGGAACACGCAGTATATGTGTTGGGGCTGCAAGGTGGGGCTGAGGGACACTGAGGCTTGAAATTCTTTGCTGGTAGTTTTCCTCTTTCCCGAGGGGTAGGTGCTGGGCTGGCCTAAGGTCTGGACTCTCCCCCAACAGAACTGGCCTTCGGAAGACCTACCTCTGCCCTCGGCTTCTGCACTTTCTTGTCTCTATAGAAGGAAGACACCTGGTCACACCATCCTCAGTTCCCTCTGCCCAGGGACCTGACCTTGACCACTTCCCACCCAGAGGCAAGCAGTGCCCTGGACCTAGGTGTTCATTTGCTCTGCGTTTCATCTCCTCTGCAGTGGGACCCCAGTCCATCCATAGCCTCGTCCTTTCCTGCCTCTGGGTCATTCTCCTTCAGGGTGGAGGGAGTTTCACATAAAATATATCATCCATGCAAACAAGCAAGTGCCTCAAGGCAACCGCAAGAGGGTGAAGAGTGACAGAAACCTCACTACTATTTTGAGACTAAACTCTTAGTGCTCCGCTTTCACGGCTGTTCCAGCTGCCACTACCCAGGTCCTTGCGAGCTCCTTCCTAGGGCTACAGACTGGGAATTGAGGCTCTTAGCCATTCTATTTGCACCTGGTTGCCAATGGTCCTGGCTCCTGAATCCTTCATCAGCCTCACTCCCGAATTTCTTCCTCGCTTCCTCCGTGGAAACTCTGAGTGCCCTGCCTCCTAGGCACCCCAACTTCTGAGCTTTTCCATCACTCAGAGCTCCACTGAGGGGTTTCCCTTCAAGTCTAAGGGAAGCCAGAACACACAGACCACATACTCAGAGGCCAGGCAGAGAGGACACCCCAAGCCGACCCTCAAGGGAGTAAGTACCCAGGAGAGACCCCTTGGGCCAAGACACCTGCTCCACCCCTCTGTACTTCCCCCGCAGCCACTGCTCCCCACCCCCAGCCCCCAGTCCAGCACTCTCCCTGAGTCCAGACCAGCAGGGCCACTGGCCCGGGTCCACACCAGGAACTTGGCTAAGGATGCTCCCAGATAGTATAAGGGGAGGCTGGGTAGAGTGGTGTGTTTTTTTTCAAACCAAGAAGAAACAACCCATGTGCCTAAATGATGTCCCTGGTCCCAGCTGGCCCCTCAGGTGGCCTGAGGAAGATTGGAGGGGGCTTGGCTGGTGGGGCATGGCTGAGGCTTGCCACGTCCAGCAGATAAGAGGCCTCTTGGCTAAAGTAATGGGGAGAGCAGAGGGACGAGGCCAGGCATACCTAGAAAAGAAAGGTGGGCCGGAAGCCTGAGCGTGGCCAAAGGACCACATGGTGACCCCCCAGCTGAGTGCCTCAGAGGGTCTGGAACCCTCAACCCAGGAGCCAGCGTTCCCCTAAGTCATGGAGTTTGCTACCCCTTGTGTCTGGTATAGGATCAACAGGAGGCAGAGAGGTCCCACGGGTCTTCTCCCCTTGACCATCACAGTTCCCATCACTGGGGTGGTTAGCATCACCCCAAACCCACCATTAGATGGGATAAACTAGGTAAGAAGCCTCTGGCAGAACCCTGGGCTACCTTGGCACATTCTGGCCCCCGCCCCCTCTAACAGTGGGCAGTGAGAAAGGCTGGGTCTATCCTCCAGGATGTCCCAGGCCACAGCAGCCAAGACTTCTCAGATGGGCCCTCTGTGATGCCCCTCCCTGGAAGCCACCCAGCTGTGCCCAGATGGTAGAGGAAGATGCATCATCTGGAGACAGTCCTAAGTGCCACCTGTTTCCAAAGAAGGATTTGGCGCAGCTGCTCTTCCTTGTGATTTGCCCACACCCGTCTTTCCAAATTCCCAGTCCCCCTCCCTGCAGAAGTCAAGTCGGGCTTCAGCACAACAGCCCCTCTCACACTCGAGGGAATGGTTTGGCGACCCTCTGAGTTGGCACTCTGCCCACCTGAACACACCCAGTTCCTTCGCTTGCTCCTGGTGTGAGGGGATGTCAAGGTCTTCTTCCCTCCACGAATTTCTCCAAAATTGGGCCCATGGCTGCTATGGCCCCCCTGAAATGTGGGCCCAGAGCCAGGGCCCCCACAGTCATATTTACATGGGCTCCTCCTTGAGATAAAATCAGGTGGCACAGGTGGTAAAGAATCCGCCGGCAATGCAGGAGACCCGGGTTCAATGCCTGGGGTAGGGAATGGCTACCTGCTCCAGTATTCTTGCCTGGAGCATCCCATGGACAGAGGAGCCTGGTGGGCTACAGTCCATGGGGTCAGAAAGAGTGGGACATGACTGGGCGACAGCACACACAGTGGTTCACCAGGACCACCCACCGACGCTGCTAATTTTTCCACAGGACGGAAGCACCTGCAACAGACCAGTGGTGCTGACAGACAGCTGGAGGTTATGCCCTGCAGAGGCAGGCTGGGTCCACCTGGGCACAGCCAGTCAAATACTTACAGAGTGTGAGGGCAAATGAGACACTGCTGTGACCACGAGACTCCCACGTTCAGACAACAACATCTCTACTCCTCTCATCCATCTGAGAAGGCTTTCTGGAGGTGGAGGTGAGATTCCAGGAGGTGTGAGAGACAGGCAGTAAGACAGGCTGGCACTCTGGGGCTGCCAGGGGGGCTGTGAGAGGCCTTAAAGGAATATTCAGAGCAGGGAGTGTTGAGTTGTTTGTACAACAGACTTTGAAATCTGGCATAGAAGCAAAGAATTGATGCTTTCAAACCGCGGTGCTGGAGAAGGGAGTCCAAGGGACTCTCAAGAGATCAAAGTAGTCAGTCCTAAAAGAAATCAACCTGAACATTCATTGGAGGGACTGATGCTAAAGCTGATGCTCCAATACTTTGGCCACTTGATATGAAGAGGCGACTCACTGGAAAAGACCCTGATGCTGGGAACTATTGAAAACAGAAGAAGGGAATGACAGAGGATAAGATGGTTGGATGGCATCACCAACTCAATGGACTTGAATTTAAGCAAACTCCAGGAGATAGTGAAGGACGGGGAAGGCCAGCGTGCTGCAGTCCATGGGGCTGCAAAGAGTCAGACACAACTTAGAATAGAATCTCAGCTCTTCGGGTACCACCTCTGTGTCCTTGGGCAAGTTACTGCTCATCTCAGAGCCTCTGTTTCCTCAGATGGGGATAATGGTTCCTCTCAAATAAGTATTTATGTCCACTCACTGAAATCATTTGTTATAAAACACTTGACACAGGGCTTGGTACATAGTACCCACCAATAAATAGTAGCCATTGTGATATAATATAATTTCTAAATTTTGTTGAACAGCAAATACTGCTTTGAGCAGGTGTAGAGAGGGTTAAGGTCCATGCTTTGAATCCGAAGCCCGAGAGAAGGATCCCTTGCTGTCAGGGTGGTGGAGGGAAGCCCTGGGCTAAGACTCAGGACTGGGCTTTTGTTGCTGCTCTGTTACTCTTAAGCAACTTCTTCCCAGGTGCCCCGAGTCTTGGCTTCCTTACCTCTAAAAAGTGAGGTCCTTTTCAACTCTGGAGAACCTAATCTTTAAGCAGAGAGATTGGGCACAAGAGAAGAGAGTCAGTGAAGGGGACCAGGCAGTGTGGAGATTGTTGCAGAAGAGCTAAGGAACAGAAAATCTGACAGAGAGAAATAGAATCATAGTTCAAGAAAGAAGAAAATGCCGCCAAAGTTTGCCCAGAAAGACAAGAACAGAAGGGTGATCAGAACCCAGAGAGAAAGAAAAACAGGTGCAATGTGCAGTAAATAAGAATTTGAAGAGAAAATTATATATATATATATATACACATACATACAGACACACACACACACATATATTTCATGGTTAAATATAAAAGAAGCACCAAGAAATAATAACTCACATTTGCAAAGCACTTGCATGAATATGATTTCATTCTGTCCTCAGAACACAATTTCATTTTGCAACAAGGAAGCAGAGTCAAGGAAATAACCTTGCCACTGTCAATAGTTTATGCAGGATGGAGCTAATGCTCAAATCCAGATTTTCTGCCTCACATCTATGTTCTTGCCATGATAGTGTCAGTTGTAATAGACCAGTGTAATGGGTCATCATATTTTTAAATTTTCTTAAGTATCAAGATGCTGTTTTGATAATAAAGTTTAAAGTATTAAATATGTACATTCTTGTTAGAACCTTTATTCTTTACACTTCATTATTTTAAAAGGACAACTTCATTTGGATGTAAATAACTCTTCTCCTAGCTTCATTTTTTCAGCTGCTTCAGACGTGTTTTTATCAGAGCAGATGAAAAGTGTGAAGTCATGGAAGGTGAAACCCTGCAGGTCCCCAGATTAATCACGCTATGTTTTGCCAACTGTCACCAAAAGATAGACATTTATATTGTTTCCCCAGTGAAAGGAAACATTGTGCATTTTGAACTTTTGGCTTTTTGACTATTTTTAAAAAGATACAAAGTTATCCAGACTTTAAATCTAGATAACATGAGAAACTTCAGATATTTTGGGGGGAGTGGGGTATAGTTAGTTTACAATGTTGTGTTAGTTTCTGGTGTATAGAAAGTGACGGAGTTTTATATATATGTGTATATATATACTTTTCAGATTTTTTTCCATTATAGTTTACTACAAGATATTAAAAACAGTTCTCTGTGCTACACATTAAATCTTCACTGTTTATCTATTATACATAGTAGTTTGTATCTGTTAATCCCAAACTCCTAATTTAACTATCCCCTCCCTTCCTTTCCCCTTTTGTAAACATAAATTTGTTATCTATGTCTTTGAGGAACTTTAGATATCCGAGCAGGCAACTATGTTATTCCTTTTCTCCAATCGGTTATTCGGAGTTTGGAAAGAAAGCATGAGCCTTTCTGCTTTCTTGGCTTTCAAAAGACTTCTCAGTTTAGATCAAATTAATCTATAGGAATATGAGTTTTTTCCTCTATGGATATTATTATGGATATTATTCCTCATGGATATTAAGACATTAAAAACCACATTTGCAAAGCACTTTCTGCTCTTCTCCTCTAGCCCTTAGGACAGCACTCCTACGTGGATGGGACAGGTAACAACCTCAGGAAGCCCAGAGAGTCTCTATGTCCCCAGGCAGGTGTCTTGGCTGAGCCTGGCTGCAGCCGAAGTGCCTGCAAGGCTGTGCACTTCATATTCATGGGACACCCCAAACAGGGGCCCCTAGTAACTATGATCAACATCAAAGTTCCTGAAGGCAAAACTTCCCTTGAAAGTGTCTTTATATCCAACCTAGAGCACTGCTTAGGGACAGCGCACCTTGACCCAGGTCCAGCCCTGGCTTGGTTCCTTCCCCAGAAGTGGAAACTTGGCCAAATCACTCCACTTTAGTTCTCTCAGCTGTCACCTAGCAAAGATAAGGTCTTCTCTGCCTGCCCCTTTGAGATCAAGTGATAGTGTGAGATAGCTCATGGGAAACACTGAAGTAAACTTTTAGGACATAAGATATTATTACCATCTGCTTGAAACTATGTATAAACACATCTGCCTACAATTTGTCTTCACTCAATGCTTTTGACTGCTAAAATGTACCCAGAATTCAGTTCAGCCTTCCAAGTTCTATAAATTCATACTGGGGTTTTCTTTTTAGCTTTAATTTTCCCACACTGAGGGAAAGCTAAAGGGGTTTAGGGGCTCCTGATGGAGACCCTTGAAGTGCTGAATGGTGGGCATTACACAGATCAAGACCACATTTCCAGCTAGTTTCCAAATTCTCCCCCAAAACAGCCAGATCTGATGGACCTTTGGTGCTGTGACTGCCCTTTGAACCACCCACTAGTAGGCAGTATCCAAAACTATTTGTAGAACATTTAGGTTCCCTTTCTTGAGTCAGAACAGAAGGCTCAGGACCCACAACCTTGAAGGTAATTGTCCCTGTTGTTGCTGCTTGGTTGCTAAGTTGTGTCCTACTCCTTGCGACCCCATGGACTACAGTACACCAGGCTTCCCTATCCTTCACAATCTCCCGGAGTTTGCTCAAACCCCTGTTCATTGAATAAGTGATGCCATCCAACCATCTCATCCTCTGTTGCCCCCTTCTCCTCCTGATGTCAATCTTTCCCAGCATCAGGGTCTTTTTCAATGAGTTGGCTCTTCACATCAGGTGACCAAAGTATTGGAACTTCAGCTTCAGCATCAGTCCTTCCAATGAATATTCAGGGTTGATTTCCTTCAGGATTGACTGGTTTGATCCCAGTGCCTGGATCATATTGCTGAAATATGTTCCCTTCCATTTACCACTCAGCCCCTGAAATCTTGCTTAACTATTATACATCTGAAAACAATAATTTGCTGTCACCTATCATGTGCCAAATACTGCTCTGGCCACTAAAACAGCAGAAGCAGCCCAGCGTGGTGTCTGTCCTCATGACACTTACCCTTCCATGGAAACCTCATTCTCCTGCATCCTCACACTCCTCATCTCAGGACTTTGCTACCAGAAGAGTAGCTAATGTGTATTGAATCCTCTTAATAGGCAGTGTCTCAGTCAATTGCCACATCAAACTTATGAATGGATACTTTTATCCCCATTTTACAGATGAAGATACAATCAAGGTTCAAAAAGGATAAGTAATTTGCCCAGGAACACAGAGCTAATAAGTGCTGGAAATGTGTTTGAAAACAACTGTGATTTGACAATTCTTTGTACAGAGAAGTTTCTAATTTTCTCTATGGTTGGCTTTCTGAGTGAGGCTACTATTTTATCTATAATGGTTAAGGATGTAAACTAGACTATGGTTTAAAAAATACATACCCTAAAGTGAAATTCTGGTTATATTACTTACAAGTTTACTATCTGGATCTCAGTTTCTCTATCTGCAAAAGAGAATAATAATACCTCATTACTATCCCATGGAGTTTCAAAGATTAAATGAGACAACACTCAATACAATGGTAGCATATGTTATCATTCAACTTTCCTCTCAAACACAACTTTTTCAATAACCTTGAATATTGGAACTTTTCACCATATTTAGAAAATCTAAAACAAATACTGAAAACTAGCTTGTCTCTAGTTGGATTGAGATGTTTGTGATGGAAAAACTCAGTGTTCCTCTCGTGTTTCCCCATTCCTACCTT